TGCTTAGCACACAGAATTTATATACTGTGTCAGTGTTCAAACTGAATGAGATGCTCATAATTGTTAAATGAAATGCAGCCATCTCAGTGGTGTTGAAAGGTCAAAGCTAAGGCTGGGAACAAGATTAATTTTCCTGTACTATGTGTGGCAATGCCTACATGTGCTACTTTGTGCACCCAGCGCTTCAGCCTGAAGCTGTTAATTAATTTCTAAAGGCCAGCAAACAGAAACTCAGGAGTAGCGCCATGACCCGTTCTCAGATCAGGGTGTTGGGGTTAAATGACTTGCTGGAAGTCCCTGGGGTGAATTAGTGATGATCCTAACTTTCTGATGGCAGGCCATCTTCTCCCACAAGTGCAGGGGAGATGAGGTGGTAGAAGGTGTCTGTGCAGGAGGCAGGATGTTCTCCCAGTGCCACCGGACAGGCAGCCTGAGAGGTCCCTGCATGGCTGTCTGGAGTTTCTGCTTCATAATGAGCATTCATTCATGGGGAGGGAAATCCCAAATGTCTGGCAGTTGTGGCTGCAAGCTAATGCTTTGTTCACGGAGATCTGTGTTTTAATGCTGGTAATGCTTTCATTTCCCTCGTTAGGGCAATAAAAGAGGTTGTATTTTTGGCAGACAGACGTAGCCCTTGCCGACTGAGAACCTCTGGCAATTCCAACTTCAGCCACCCAGCTGCTGAGAAAAGACGCTTTACAAGGGTGGTCACAAGGGTTCCCTGCTGGGCAGGAGGTGAGGAAAACTGAGGTAACCTGGCAGGTTACCCTCCCCAGGGTGCTGCTGTGCCACATGGGGGTTGTTCACCTGGGCCTGCCTGCCACAGCCTGGAGTGGATTACAGGCTGGAGAGGATAAATCAGCTGGGATAACAATCCTGCCTGGGACGTGGCATGGGGGCTTGTCCCCTGAGCCCCAGCTGGCAGGTTTCAGTGCAGCAAAGTGGGAGCACAGTGCCCAGACACAGCGTCCCTTATTGCTGCGGTCTCCTCTGTCACCTGATCGAAGTCATAATCTTGTTTCACACTCTGCCACACCAGCCTGGTTGCGTGTGAGGGCACAGGCCCATAGGATAATTCAGGTTGAAGGGACCCCAGAGTGTCATCCAGTCCAGCCTCAGTTCAGCTACAAGGTCAGGGCAGGTCACCCAGGGCTTGCTCAGTGAAACTCGGAGGAACGAGTTGCCAAAGGACTAAAAGCTAATTAAAGCTTCATGAAGCATGTCACAAGCAGGAAAGCTCACAGAGAGTGGGAAAGGGGAGGCAAGGGGAAGACTGATGACAGTTCATAACAAGAGGAGCAGAAAGACAGCACTATAGCAGGAAAATTCTTTTCCTTGCATCAGCAAGGATCTCAAAGGGGATCTGGCTGGTAGGTTTCCATCCAGAAACCACTGTTTTCTTGGTGACCCAGAGAAACTATTCAGACTGCTGTGACACTGTAAGAAGACTTTTTAAATTTATTTTTCTTTGACTGGTGACATGAGGTGTAGGCAAAACAAGAGTCAATGGTGTTCCTGCAGTGTGGTGAATATCAAACTGCTCAAGCTTAATTGTGACAGGGAATCAAATGCTCTATCAAGGTTGCTAGAGGCTCTGACTGTTGAAAACTGGTGGGATGTACCATAGAAAGGATTACTTTATATGAACTCCAAACCTTTACCTTTTTTTTTTTTTTTTTTCCTGAGTGCTCACTAGGGGCTTCTGTCAGAGACAGACTGGGAGAGAAGCATGGGGAATGCTCAGTGGAAGTTTCTGTGGTACTGGCTCGTGGAATTGCCACCATGCTGCGTGTTCAGCAGGCACTCGTGCCTGAAGGCTCCTGCTGTGCTAGAGGCTTACTGGCTTTCGTAAAGTAAAATCATGTGCTTTCGTCTCAGCCATTTGAATATGGCACCTTCTTAAAATACAAACTTCAAAATCTGCAGCAGGAGCAGTGTTGTTTGTATAATGCTTCAGACTTTGAATTGAGATTTTGTGTGCAAATGATGAAATACCAATAGCTCAATCTGTCTGTTTTGGCAAAGTGGAGCAGGAGGGAGAATATATGGAGAGTAGGATTGATTATATTGAAGGGAAGAAAGAAGGATTTGCATAGTTTCTGTGTTAGGACATAATATCCACATATATCTTCAAATAAGCACAGTGTAAATGTTCTCTGTGGCTTTTTTTCATGCAAGACGCTATTTATGGTTAAAGGTATGGAAGGACCCTTTCATATTAAAGCTTCCTGTTCTTTTGATTTAGCAAAAGTTAAGTAAAGAAAGGAAGATTAAAGAGGAAGGAAATTCTAAATAGATTTCTGTTTCTGGAAGCAGAGACTACAAAACAGCTTTTCAAGCAGGGCATAAATTATGCTCACAAATAAGAAGCGCAGTCTTTACAAGTGTTATGGCTCAGAGCTGCTCAGAGAGGACTTTCACATGTAGAGATTTAACTATATTTGATGTCTCAGCTCTTAATAGGAAAAAAACCCCAAACCCTCCACTAGTTTCTGAATACAAGTGGTTTTAAAAAATGGACAAAACCGCACCAAGCAAAACAACAACAAACAAAAACACTTAAAAGACCAAATAGTTGTCAAGTTTTTAATGTAACTATTTATTTTATAGTTAATGCATTTAGTTGTTAACTTCATAGATATTTTAGTAGTTAATATAAATGTTTATGGCTTAAAAGGGCTGTGCAGAGAAAAGAATAAGATTTGTGTGCATTTCCTGCACTGAGGTACTCTTTTAGATTAGATAAATCTGTGTGAACGGTACAAATCACAAAACTATGGAGCAATGCCCTCCACTTAAAGTTGAATTAAAATCTGGCATTGAAGAATGCTGAGGTGTTAGTCAAAGTGAAGGAAGAAAATATGACAGTAGAACTTTGAAGCTGACATGGTGAATCATTCACCCATCAAATTTTGGAAATAATTTTGTTTTCTTGTTTCTGTTTTGTATTTCCTTATGCAAAGTACTCAGTTCCTCTGAGATAAAGTAAATTATTCAAGAGGTTCATTCCAGGCTCATGTGTTACTTGTCTAATACTGAAGACAGCAGCAAGAGCTGTGGCACATCTCCAAGCTGCACTGTTGGCATCTTAATTTCCAGAGCTGGGTGTGGGTAGAGTTAACATCTAAATAGTAAATTTCTGATCCCACAGGGGTGACTGCACCCCTTTGTGATGCATCAGCTGTTGATCAGAGCAGTATGGGGGGAGTGGTGAGGTTTGTCACGGGTGGGATGAAAAAAGGCCGGAGTTTGACATAGCCCACTTTTAAAAGTTTACTTAGAAGTTCAGTGTGGTTGTACAAGTGTCTTGCCTGTACATAGAAAATGGACATTGTGTGGATTTCTCAAGGACAAATTAGTGCTGTTCAATTTCTATCCTCACAGTTCCAATAAACAATTTCATTTCCAACACGTACATCTTTAAAATTAAGCAATTGCATCTGCTCTGTATTTATAGGGTAAAAAAGCATTGCTTGAAGTTTATAAACCACTGCTTCAGTATCACTAAATATATCTTGAAAGTTCTTAAGAAATTGCTGTTCCCCAAGGATGAAGCTGAGTTCATTAAAACACTTTTTTCATCATTACCATGATCCTAGGTGGCCTATTAACAAATAAGCCTGCTGGCTTATTTGAGATTACTTCAAGTAGAAATAGGATTGGTCACCTAGTGGAAATAGTAGCTTTCTATGTAGGTGTTGCCCAATTTGAAAAAATTACTCTTATCCAAATGTATTGTTGACACAACTAAAATTTGCATAGGACTTTTTGTTCATGTTCTTTCCCACTCCTGTTGAGCAGGATAGATTTCATCTGAGAAAAGCTTGGGGTAACTTTAATCTGTGTTAATAAACTGGGTTGAATCAGGAATTGAAATTACAGGGTTGTACTGTAAAGATAAAATAGACAGCAATAGCCTATGGCACCCATTACAAAGGGTGGGGATGGGGGAGGGAGGTGCTTCCCAGAAAGCTTTAGTCCAGGGGAAAAAACACATTTGCAGATTGTGAAGCTGAAAATGTGGCTATGAGTGGTGTTTGTGAAGCCTTCCAGTGAAGTTGCATCACCCTTTTGGGCAGATGGTCTTGACAGAAGTAACATGAGCTTGGACAGCAGTCCCTGGATCTCTGAGAGGAGCTGACACAGAGGAAATTCAAGGGCATAAATTGGTGAGGAGTAGAGCTTGCCTTGCCTCTGGGTGTAGATGCTCAGCTGAGTTGAGGGAAGAAATGAACATGTGGTTTGAATGAGGGGAAGCCCTGCCGTGGTGCTCATTCATTTCAGTTCACTGATAGGGCTGATAGGCACTTCAGAAGGTCAGAGGTGCAGGGCTGCTGCTCTGTAGGACCTTGTGTGGAAACCAGGGAGAGAGTGCTGGAGACTGTGGGAGGCAACAAATCCATTTGGAAGCAGCTGTGCAGTTCAAGGAGAGCTGGCCAGAGGGTTCAACATCAACTTGCTAAGGATAATAGGAAGGATTCACCTCTGGGATGTGAGTTGAGTTTGTTTTATCCCAGTTCTGTTCTTGATTCTCCTCGGTTTTTCAGAAGTGCAGAAGGCTGTGGGGTGTTTGTGTTTGGCTCTGGTGTTCTTGCCTACATTTGCAAGCTGAAAACTGTTCTCACAAGCACATGGAGGTTTGTTTGTGAAGCTGTGCTTTCTGAGGGGATTAGACTGAAGTGTGAAATAACTGTTCCTTGCTTCTTCCCCATGTTTTTGATGCCAGTTGAAGCAATTGTTACCATCTGTCTTGTATTTTTTTTTCACTGCAGCTGCTCAGGGAATATTCTAGCCTGTGCTAGTCCTTTTTACTTTTTGTGGAATAGGGTCCTCTTTGGTAAAAAAAGAGAAGACAACAAGCAGTGGGCTTTAACCTTTTTAAATGACAGATCTCCTGAAAGGAAAACAATGCATAGGTGCAAATTAAAATCAAGGAATTTGGGAATGTGTGAAAATGACAGGAACCATCATCTTTATGTGGTTTTTTGTATTTATCTTAGGCTTGTCAAAATGAAGAGAAGAACCATTCCACAGAAGAGCTTAGCAAGTCTGAAATCCAGGAGGAGCTGAAAAAGGCTAATAGCCTTCCTAGTCTGACTCCTGGAAGCAAAACATCAGGTAAAGAGAAGCAACCCCGAGAAGGCTTTTTTCATTTCCTTGGAAGCTTATTTAATATTGCAACAAGATCTTCCCTGGTAGAATCTAAATCCTCTACCTTCCAAGATGAACCCAATAGATGTGAAAAGGATTTACAGAGCACAAATACCCTTCCAAAGGACATGCAGCCAAAGCACCCAAAAATTGAAGAGCCTGCAACTAGAAAAAAAGAGGAATCTGTAAATAAAGATGATGCCATCTCAAATAATATTGGGAAAGATATCACACAGGATCTTCAAGGAAGCTGGAAACAATCCTCAGATACAGAAAAGTAAGTTTTAGAATTTATTATTAAATATGTTGGTGTTTGTGTGTGTACAGAACCATGCTGACCAAGTTCAGCTGACTGTATGAGAAATGTCTGTCATTTCTAAGGATGGTTGGAGTGTCCCTGACTTGACTTTGTGCAAACCTCCAGTAGCAACTGCCCTAAATAAATGAGCAGGGGAGAAGTGAACTGCAACAAAATATAACTTTAAAGAAGTTGTTTAGAAGTCTCCTGACTAGATGTGGCATTTACAAATATGTTAAGAAAAAGAAGTGTAAAGAACTTATTTCCATCCATATTATGGCCTATATATAAAAGCTTGAATGTTTGTCCTTTTTATAATCTCAGCAGTTCAATAATTTTACTTCTGCAAATAAGGTTTTCTCACTTTTAAATTATCTTTCCTAGTTTATTTGACTGGGTGATTTTTTGCTTTTGTGATTTTTTTTCTCCCTAGTTCTTTGGGGTTTTCCTGTGATGTAAAGAAGGTTATGTAAAACACTCAATTTCAATTAACCAAAATATGGAGCATTCTTTATAGTCCTGTAGTATTTTTAAAAGCAGATTTTTTTTAAAAAGTGGTGGTAAGGGCACCATTGTGTATTTGAGAGTAGAAAACTTAAAACACTGGCTGTGGTCAACGCTGTGTATAACAAAACCTTTTATGACTGTCATAAACATAGATATTAGTTTTCCAAAATCATTTGTACCTGTTATGTTGGAAATCTGGCTGCATGTGGGTCAGCACAGCATGGATTTGGAGTTAGGTGTGAATGTGTGCCTGTCCAGTTTTTGATGGGTGTGTAGAACATGGACTTGTTTGTAGGCAGTGGATCTGCAAGTGATGATGACTCAGGCTTTCAGTATGGCCCAGAATATTTATTTCAAATTTAAGCAGAAAGTAGGGATTGGGAGTAACCAGTAAGTCTCTCACAGTGCTCCTGCTTGCATTGCAGAATGGGAGGGTGGGCTCAGAAGAAGCACCTTTTTTTCTTTTAATTTTTTTTAATTAATTTGAGTTGTGCTCATTTTGTTTATTGGTGGCATGTGAAATGTTTCATCTCCATGTAGGACGTCAGAGACAGCCAAAATAGCTGCTTGTTGAATTCCATTTCCATACTGGGGATGTCTGCAGCACTCTGCCCTTACCTATTATTTGGCAGAATGATTATTTGAAGCATTATGTTATAAATGCAGTGGCTCATCAGGATGTGAATAGGTGATGTGATACCTATTTAAGTGAAGTTAAAACTGTATTTCCACCTTCAAAATGCAGTAGTTAATAGTAATACTGGTTGTGTTCTCATGAGCACTCTGGTTTGGTCTGTGACGTGGTTGACTGGTTTTTATCCCAGACTCTTATCATGGTATCACCCATCTGACTGTGCTTTTTCCTAGCTGCAGCTCAGCACCACCACTGCTTTGATCAATGCAGGAGAGAAGTTCTCCTCCCTTCAGTTGTTCCCAGGAGAGCCCAGGAGCGTGGTGTTATTTGGTCTGGTTCCTGAGCAAACTGTATTCCCTAAAACCTGTTGGACAGGCTGGGTTGCTGCATCAGTCTCTTGCTGCTATTTGCTGTTTCTGTAGTGTGTCCTTCACTGTCTATGCACAATTTACTGGGTAAGATGGATCTCATTCCCCTTTTTCTTCTTGTGAATTCTTCATAAAAATGCAGATTAAAAGAATAAGGCATTTATCAAAGTTTGAAGAGTTTGGAAAGTGTGGGTATTAACTTGCCGAAGTGATCTCTTCGCTCTGTACAGAAATTTTTGAGTTATTTTTGTTTTCCTGAAGTCAAAGTTACAGTTGGATTTTTCAATTGACCATCCTTTGGTGTTGTCCTGTATTGTTAGGTAATCTTTGCAAACCAGATTTTTTTCAGTGTCGATTTGTCTCATGGCTAGGCAAGCATGAAAGAATGTGTGTTGCTAGTTTGGAGGTAAGGGAGGGTTGACCTATATACAGAATGAAGCTTTTCCATGGAAAATAACTTTTTTCAAGGGAAGAAAAAAATTTTTTTTTTCATTGTAGCTGTTGTAAATTAGGGGAAGCATTAAACCAGTCTATGTCCTTTTAAGCTCATTCTGAAAAGTACAGTGTACATTCTGCCCTTTTGGCTTGGGATACTAACAAGTTAGACAATCTCTGTGTAACTTTAATTATGTTTTTCTCTGCCTGACCACACAATGTGAACTGCTCTTCTGAAGCAATTAGTAAAGAAAAATTGGAATGGCTGCAGGGAAGCAGAGGCTTGCATTGTTTACCTTTCTAAAAAGTTTGAATAACTGTTTTTTTAGTAAGGATAACTGGTTTTGGTTTTTTTCTTTTATGGAAGTTATTGTGCTGAATTTGTTCTCTTTTAGTTTATAAAAGTTTAAAGGATGTAGAGTAGTTTATTCTTTCCAAAGAAAGAATAGAAAGAAATTTCTTTCCAAAGAAATAAAGAAAGAAAGCTGGGTTTTTTACTAAATATTAACTACCTGGTATTCAATTAGCATGGCTAAACTATAAAAATGCTCTTGGTTGTTGCCAGTTGGCTGAAGAGTCTTCTTGGGAATGGATGCTACAAGCACATGAGGAATGATGGGGAGAAGGGGTAAAGACTTAGCACAAAGCAGCAGGAAGGTGTGGAAACCATGAAGAGCAAAGATGATGTGAATCTAAGAGTGATTGAGCCCTAAAAGTCGTGTGAGATGTGCTAGTGAGCCATTTAAAGCCAAAAGTATTGGTTCCATTGATAGTTGCATTAAACTGAAATGTCAGCATTTTCTGTAGAGGCAGGATCTGGCAGAGAGCTTTACAAATCCTTGTGACCACTGCATTATTAATCTTACAGGAGTTTCCTTTGTCCTGAGGAAGATGTAAATGAATTTGTTAATTCTACACTGCAGTGAAGTACTGCATTAGGGACTGTCTCTGGTTAGTGAGGAGGTTGCAATGATAAGTGGAAGAGGAATGGATGTTAGATTGCATAATCCCCATTAGAGTTGTATAAAAAAAAGAAAGCCTAAACCAAACAACCTTTCAGATTTCAAAAACCTACCAGATGGTCTCAGATGCCTCTACTCAGGCAACCTCATTCTCCTCATATCCTTAAAGCAATATTTGCTGAAATTCAAGGATATCAGAGTGCTCTGACCTGTAAACTGAGGTTAATTTTGCCCTCAGTGGGAGGTCTGGCACTTGGTAAAGACTTGAGTTTCCAGGCCTTGGGCCAAGGAAAGTGGAATTCATGAGCTCAGTCTGTGGAAGTACATGTTTTTGAGGGACAAAATGTGTAGGTCAGATTATTTATTCCTCCATCACCCTGGCTGCTTGGCTCAGAGGTAATCTGTACCTCAAAGGCTTTTGCTCCTTTAATCCCAACAGTGGCAAGTGGTAAAGGAGGAGCACAAAAGACAAGACCATGATACATTTGGCAAAGTCTCTAGACAACAATTATCACAGACAATAATTGCAGCACAGAAGATGGGTGAGGAGAGTTGGGCTCAGTCTCCAGTTATTTCATCCCTCAGTCTTCCATTTCTCTGGGTTGGTTGAAGGTTTCTTTGCCTTGAAGAAGTGAAAGGGAGCAAGCAATTGCAAAGTAGGGTATTTGCTACTTAGAGTAGAAAAACCCATTCTTAGGTAAGATGGCAGCTTCGGGGTAGGATAGTCCCCTGTGACTGACTGGTAGGTATAAAAGTGAAAACTTTGTGTTTACTCTTGGGCTTTGCACTTCTTAATGATGTTAAAAGACAACCTTTAGCTGATGAAATAAGCCCTAAAAATAAAACCATGGAACAGTGGGGGTGCACTTCACCTCATTTCTCATTGCTGAAACTCTACATGAGAGAGATGATGATTTCATGAAGTAGGTGACAAATATAAAACACAGATTTGCCCCATTATCTTTCTTTCCTATAAAGTAAAATTCTTGCACTTTTATATATATTGCCTGTCACTAAAAAGCAGTGATTTGTCCTCAAAATTGAGAATGGACTTCCTGCAGTGAATAGCTGCCATCTTCTCAAGAATCCCAGTGGTGGTAATGAGTGGTACCTTGTGCAGGTGACTGAGGACAGAACTTTGGTGTTTTCCTCCTGCCCCAAAGACATATGCCCCGCATCTGTTCCATTGACTGCTTGCCATTTGTCTATTTTCCACTAGATTTTTTTTTTTAATATCCAGTAACAATAAGTGGATGTTACAAATAGTGGTGTGTAGAACAATAGTGCTTGTGAAACTGCACAGCTTGTTCTGGACTTCAGCAAGGAGGAGCTTTATTGCATTGCTGAACATGGCTGAAGAGAAAAAAATCAAAATTTTCCTTGCTCTAAATGTTTTGATTAAGTAATCCTGCTTAATACAGTAATACCTGAATTCAACAAAGTATTTTAAGATCCCATCTTCTTCCTTGTGTTATGAACCTTGTAGATATGGATGTGAGAAAAAACTCAGAACCCCACAACTGCAAGGATTTTCTTCCTGTAGGTAGAGAAAGGGGTGGGAGTGATTTCCAAAGCCGATGCTCAAAACATGCATTTAAATTTTACACCCTACTAAGAGCTAGGTACTAGGAATAACTTAGTGAGAGCATTGCAAGCAATTTCATTCAGAAGGGAGGTAGCCCTAAGGAAAAGGAAATTTCAGTCTGTTTACAGTTCTATTATGTTATACATTAGTGGGTCCTGTGAGGTATTTTTTTATTATTATTTATTTTATTTTTAGGTCTAGTAAACCTGTTGTTATACATCTAATTGATGTATGTTAGTATTAGCAATTAGTATTTCCCACCTTGCTACTGTCAGCAAATCCTGCCCTTTTATTTTGATAGAAATGCATCTGATAAAATCCTTCAAGCTTACATAATTCTCGTTAATAGGTTTGTTTCAGAGCTTGTAATTCTCCTTTGTGTTGCTTGTCAGAGGCAGGCTTGTGGTGATAACAAAACACAGCATTAATTTGTCTGATGGATTTGTTGTGTATTGTGGTTTGATTTCAGTAAGTAGCAACAACATTCA